ATTTAGATGAAATCTTAGAGAAAATGTGAGTTTCTAGAGAGAGAAGCTCAAGATCTGGAAATTTGAAGACTTTTAGAGAGAGAGAGAAAGCAGAAAATGATCTGAAATGTCATTTTCATGATCTGATAAAACGCGGTCCGCTCGAGCGTGGAAATCCCCGTTTGAGCGTAAGACACAGACTCCCGTTCGAGCGTGAAGCCCTGCGCTTGAATGTGAAATACGCTTATGAAAGATATGGCCTTGTTTGGTTTGTGTTTCTCAAAAAATTTTGAGAAAAATTCTCTTGAAATACTCTCTTCCAGTATTTTTGCAGACACCGTCCCCGCTTGAGGGCCCGAATGCCTGCCCGAGCATAGAGCAAAATTTGTGAAGCCCGCTCGAGCGCAAGAATGCCCGCTCGAGTGGAAGAGCCAAATTCTGGGCAACAAAGGCTTGGAAAAACAAGCAACCAACTTGCTCCAGACACCCAACTACAACCCAATAACTAACATTAAGAGGAAGACAAGAGAAACGAGACATGAACCACCATTTAACCCATACAAACCCGAGTCTGGAACACCACATAAATTGTCTATTTTAGATTCTATAGATTCAACTTTGGATTCTAGATAATTTTGATTTTTATCTAATTTAAAAAACCAAGAGCACATAATATCAGTAATATTATTTAAATTAGAACAAACACTATTTATATTTGCAGACTCTTTAGTAATATACAAACTATGGTCATTATTTTTGTATTTCCAAAGAATATTATATCTTCAGGGTTAATTGCCATAATAGATTGTTGTTGGTACCTAAGACCTTCCTAGTGTATTTATCTGGTGCCTAAAATCTGTCTTTATGATCTTAAAGACTTAAAAATGCCTAATTATGGCTAATAGTCAAAAGATCTTAATGAGTATATGAGCTTTGTAAGAGCTTTGACATACACTAAACAAAAAACTTAAATTTTTTTTTTAGTCTTTAGTGAACTTTTTTTTTCAAATTAACATTATTACATTATAGATTCATCTAAATTAGATGCAATTAAAAAAAGAAAAACAAATTTAACTAAAAAAGAAAAACAATTCACTAAAGACAAAAAAATAAAAATATACTGACTCAATCACTTATATTGTCAATTCTGAAATGAAAAATTTACTATCGTTTTTTTTTTATCTTTAGTGAATTTTTTTTTAGTTAAATTTTTTTTTAATTTTTTTAGCTGCATCTAATTTAGATGCATCTATAATGTAATAATGTTTAAAAATAAATTTGAAAAAAAAAAAGTTCACTAAAGACTAAAAAATTTCAATTTTTTTGTTTTTTTATTTTTTATTTTTTGTATATTTAGTGAATTTTTTACATCACATATGGAGCTGATGTGTTAGTGATGCGACAAATTCTATTACTTTTTTGGATGGAAGTTAGTTGTAATGACTGTTTTCGTTGTGCGTCTTTTCCTCTTTGTTTACCTTGTTAGGGTGACGAGTTCCACTTGGGGCATTATTGTTCGTTGGAGTTTGTTGTGTTTAGAAGCTGTTCTCAAAAGGTTAGTCCTTGTTTGCTTCCGTGTCAAGTTCCACACGTCTCGGAGTGTGCGGGGTCAAGCCCGGAGGATCGGGAGTTGAGTCGAGACATTCCCGGGCTGAGGACCAGGGCCGCACGTGCAGGAGGTGAGGCCGCACGTGCGGATTTCAGGGGTGAGGTGTGCAGCACACTGCTAAATAAGCAGGTGTAGCTGAGGTGTGGGGAGAAGAGGGCCGCACGTGCGGGAGTGTTGGCCGCACGTGCGAGAGCACGCGCCCCACGTGCGGGAGGTAGGTGGATCCGAATTTTTGTTTTATTTCCTCCTTTTTTGGGCTGATTGAATGCTACTTTTGTGTATCTCTCTCTCTCTAAAAACATTTCCTCTCCATTCTCTCTACATTTCCTACTAAAAACCTCACAAGATCTTTGATTTCTGCAAATCCATTGGGATTTAGATCTAAGTTCTTCATCAAAGTTGGCTGTCTAGGCGAGAGCTACGTTGTGTGCGGTGGAGATCGAGTTTTATCGTCATTGATTTTGGGATTTTCAACTCATTTCTCCTCCAAGCTTGAGGTAGGGATTTTCTTGAGTTATATATATGTTTTTTGCAAGATCAAGACGATTTTCGAAATCATCTTTTGTTTAGTTGGAATGACAAGGCATCATTGAACATGTTGGTTTTCAAATGATGAAGGTGTGTTTTACTTTCAAAAATGCATGGCATGGCATAAACATTTCATCTCTCGAGACTTGTGTAAAATGTATATACTTTGTTAAGAATTCTCTACTGGGCTTTATGCTCACCCTACAGGATTTTTGTGTAGGAAAAGATGTGGTGATTCCGCCTAACTGAAGGTGTGAAAATGTGTGCAGAGAGCAGAATGTGCTCATTTGCTGTGACTCTAATTGCAAGCCAGGGGCTTTATATGTGTAGGTTTGAATAACCGTTTTGTGTAACTAGACTCAAGCCTCGGATACTTGTAAACCCTTAGGGGTATTTGTTGTTTAATTAATTGTTGTTGGATTAATTGTATTATCACATGAAGACTATTCACATCATGTAATGCGAGTATGGGGATTTATTATCAATTTTTACTTTAAAGAGCCATGGCTATTGTATTACCATTTGAGCATGAAAATTGAGGCGTGACATTAGTTCATGAGTAAAGTGGGAAGTATTGCAAACATAAAGGGACAAAGTAGGAAGGATTACAAACATGAAGGACCAAAAGTGGGAAAAATCAAACTTAAAGGGTCAAAGTGGGAAGGATTGCAAACATGAAGGATCAAAGTGGGAAGGATTGTAATATAAAAGGCTAAAATGAGAAAAATCAAACTTAAAAATCCAAAGTGAGAAATGGGTGAAACTTTAGGGGGACTTTAGGGGGACAAAGCGTAATTTATCTTTTTTAATATATAAATTTAGGACGCAGGTTAATAAAAGTATTTATAATATTTTATATTTATTAACATATTATTTATATTAGGGCATAAAATTATTTGACTTGCGAAAACCGCCTTATCTAATTTGACCACCATACAAATGGATGATTTTGAGTGTACAATAGAATCAAATGCCGTTTAAAATATGACTTTGTTGAGGTGGGTGGGGCTCAAGTTTTACCTACATTTGCAAGCACCACACCACGCACTTGCACAATTTAAAAAAAAAAAAAAAAAACCCTTGAACCATTTATCTTCTGTTTATTGACAAATTCATATTAGATTTTTTTTCTCAAACCAATCCAAACCGTCAAAATCGAATCAGTTTGCCTTCACAACATTTTATTTGGCAACACTTGCGTACTGTGATTATTAGGACTGTGCACAATACTACCATAACCGTCAAAATTGCACTGAATTGAGCCAAACCGGGATTTTTTTTAATTTTTGGCGGGCAGATTGGCGGGTTGGGCTGCCAAGCATTGGCGTGAGTGGCGACTGGAGGAAGGCAACCCGCCTGCTCTAACCGACCCGACCCGCCTATCTTTATTTTTTTATTTTTGTAAATTTTGGTTTAGTATCCGAATGGATTAATAAGGATTTTAATTTATCAGTATATTTTTGTTTTAATTTTGGATCGTCTAATTTACTAATAAGGTCAATAAGGGCAGATTCTTCTTGAGTGTTTTTGGTAAGAACGGTAACTTGTTTAACTGATTTGCAACAAACATCATTACATCCTATATTAATGTTGTCATTAGAATCATCACTTGGGATTGGTAATCAGATGAAGTATCAGGATGGTCAGAAAAAGAGGAATTAGTAATAGATTGATTTAATTGAAAAATTTCGTATAATTAATTTTTGGAGTTATCATCAATTTGAAGTTGATTAACTTTATCTTTTAACTTTTGTTTTTTTATTTTTGTTTTTAAAAAATACAGATATGCGTAGAAACTCAATAACACATTACACAGCACAGCTTCCATACACTCTCACACGCACACAATCAATTCTCAAATTAGACCCTAACTCCTCTAACATCTCACCGTATTCACAGACTGGTGAACAACATTTGTCTCACCCCTTGCTCCTCCACCACGCCGATCGCCATCATCATCGCCTCTATTAGCCTTGCCGGTCGCCGTCGCCGTCGCCACTAGTAGCCTTGCCGGTAACCGCCGCATCTCTTTTTCTGCTGTCTCTTTCTCTTATTCTCTGTTTTGGGTTTCTTTGTCGTGTTTTTTTACGAAATGGGTCTCTAGATTTGGACCTTTTGCTTCTTGATTTGGTGTTTCTGTGTTTTCTAGGGCTGGAAAGAGAAGATATATGTATTCCCAGTGGCGTAGCAGGAATTGAGTGAAGAGGGGCACAAACAACATTAATTTGTTTTTTTCAATTACTAAACTTAAATATTAAAAGTTCATTTAGATAAATGTGAATTTTAAATTAAAAGATTTGAGATTAAATTTTATATAAATATTGGGGAATAACTATTTTATAAGTGGATTGGAAAATTAAAATAGAAGATAAGTTGAAATAGAAATGACATATTTTAGTATAGAAATTCTATAAAACATACCGTAAAAAAAAAGTGTCTATCATATGTCACAATTATGATATTCGTAGTCTTTAGTTATAACACGTTATAGTGTTAGATATAATTTAGTTATAACTTCTTGTGATTGTTATTTTGGTTATGGCTATATATCAAGTAATAGTTAGTTATAACTTAGTCTGATATTAGTTATGACCTATTGTAATTTTTTTTTTATTATTATTATTTTTTTTTTTATAATTGAAGATGTGTTGCTTAATTATAATTTATATAGTGGTCATTTGAGTTATGAATGGAAAGAAACACATGGAGGATAAACTTTACATGTCAAATGTAACTAACAATCTAATAAATTTCTTATCTTCATTGAAATTAATTATGTTTGCATGTCAATAATGATAGACATCACCATTATATTGAAATTTTCGTAGATAATAATAATGATTTATTATAATCTCTTTATTTTCAATTAGAATAACCATTATTGTTTTCGTAATTTTAAAAATGTCATTGATATTTCACTTTAAATAATATTTTTATAAATTTTTTTATTTAAAATATTTTCTTTATGTTAAAAAAAAATCCCAAAACCCAAGGGGTGCATGTGACCCCCCTGTGCCTCCACGACTGTATATTCCCTTGTATTGGACACATGTTTTGCAATGGGTTTTCAATCTTGTTCAAATCTGAGTTTTGCAATGGGTTTTTTAGAGATATATTCAAATATGAGTTTTCAATCTTGTAATGCAAATTTCTTCATTTCTTCTTTTGCTGCATTTTTTTTTTTTTCAAATCATTCCCCCCTCCCCCCTTCCCTTCCTCTATTCTTCTGGAGAAAAGATTGCTTTGCTTATTAACAGATTGATATATATCCATCAATTACTTTTTCCATACGTAACAGAAACTAGGATCCCATTCTTTGTTTGTTTTTCCTGTTTAACTTTTGAGTAGAATTGTTGGAGACATTATCTAAAAATTTTGTGAAAGAATTATATGGTTTTAATGAATCTGTGAATAAAATTTTGTGAAAGAATTATTTTGTAAAAGAATTTGTGAATAAAATTAGTATTGCTGATATATGATATATGATATACACAAAAAAAAAAAAGGTAACTGAAATTTTATCTGAAAATGAATTATATGATATATGTTTAAAATTAGTATGATGTGAATCTTATCTAGAATGACTGTGATTTATAAATATATTTATCTGAATATTTTCCAAGTATTTTTTTTAAAATTTGTAATATTGCTGATAAATATTGTAGCCAGAGCAATTTTGCCTCAAAATTACATGATTGGGCTAGTATATTGCCGCAAAGATTGACATTGATATACACAGACAGACACATGCATGTTATATATGCACTTGTTTCCTTTGAGTGCAGTCCACTTCAAATTCTCCTAGTGGTCATGCTTTTTTGGGCCTGAATCTGGTTTGATTCAAATTCATTATTATAGTTCTTGTAATTTGGTCATTTTTTCCTAGATCTCAACTGAGGTTCTGAAGTGTGTGTTTGTATATTAGTAGGAAACTTTTGAATGCAACTAGCACTTGAATAATGAACCATAAATCAAGATCGACCCAACACAAGTTTGTTATCTATTATATAATGGTTGCTTGTTATATAACAAAATCCTTGTTGGCTTGTTGGACCAAAACACTATTGCAATTTGCAATCAACCAAGTTTAGGAAAGAAGTTGGCCTTGTTTTCTTTTTCTTAGTCATTCATATAAGCTATTTAATCTGTTTATAGCTGATGTATACTCCAAGGCAAAACTTGATGAACTTGGAGAAACTCATTGTAGTTTGACTACTCATGTGAAACTCAAGCAAATGTTTGTGACATTGGATGATCCATGATGCTTCTTACTTTGGTTCAGCTTATGGAACTACTTATAGGTTTGTTTATTTGAGGAAATTGTGTCAAATTGTTTGCTCAGTTTCTGCTTATATCTTGTGAGTCAAAAATAGTTTAAATAAGCTGAACAAAATTTATAATTTGAAAGTTGGGGAGAGATGCTTTTAGCTTTTTCTTTTTGATTTTCAATTTTCCACTTGCAAAAAATTTGCACCAAATAGGCTCATGTATGTCCACAGCGAACTGGATTGATCAGATTTCATGTGATGGAGTATAGGATTTTTAAGAGTTTAGTTCAGTTTTGAGATCATCTAATTATCTTATTATTGTTATGTTGTGTTTTGTTTTTATGGATGAACACCAAGTTTGATGCTTTCAGATGGAATTTGTCATGGATTAGTAGTGATTTTAGTCAATAAATGGAATAAAGAGCTTATAATCCCTGAAGTTTGACATTTCTGTGGATTAGCTCTAGAATTTATGTTACCCTCATTCAGTTACTATTAAACAAATAATTAAATCTACTGCTTAAAGAGCAAAAACACAATCCAGTCCAAGTCCATAATATTTTAAAATACAATCCATAATATTGCTGAAAATTAATTTGAAACATGCTTTCTCAGTTTTAAATATTTTTACTTATCATCATTGTAAATTTTTTATTTTGTACTAGATAATGGATGAGGGAAATGCAGGTAATAGTTGTTTTGATGGTGGAAACCCTTCTACACTAGTCCAAGTCCCAACTGCAGAATCAACTATTGTTACTAGTTCTTGAGGTTAGACTTAATTCTTATTTTTGAAATTCTTGTTGAGCTTGATGATTATATTAACTTTTAATTTACTAGTTTGTCAATGTTTAATGTTAGATTAGATGAATGAACATCTATTTTAATTTTGACTATTTTCGTTAATATATAAATTAGATCTTTTTACTCTTTAATTCAAGTTTTGTAATTTAAATTATTTTTTTTATAAACCGCCAATTTACTCAAACTGCCAAGTTGAAACTGTCAATATTTGCCAACCGAACCGCCGGTTTTTGATAAGAAAAATGGCAATTTCTAATAACATTTTTATCAATCTACCACCCGTTGTACGGTTTCTATTTTACTCTTAAACCAAACCAACTCGCATTGCGCACACCCCTAGTGGCTGCCACACCGTCGTTGAGGTTCGTCGGCCAGCATCTTCTTAGGTAAACTCTCTTCTTCCCCAACTCTAGGAATTTTAATTTTAAAATTTGGCGCTTTTGAATTAGGGCTTGTTTAATTTAAAATTTTAATTTTATTGTTGTTGTTCTAGGTTGTTTTTCTCTATTTTAATTTAATATCCTAACCCAATAATGCATTGGGGGGGGGGGGGGGGGGTGCGCTTTGCTAGCATATTTCATTTTGACAAAGGAGTTGGATATGTAGGATGGATTGATTGTGGCTTTGTGCCATGACTTGCACGCAAAAGGAATATCCAACACCGGTGATTCAATTCCAACTCTTCCAAACACATTCACCAAGCAATCCATTTTCTTCAACTCCTCCCATTTTCCTCCTATCTACGCCAACAAATAAATAACTACTATTATTTTCCTTACAGACTATAAAATTAAATTTAAAAGCAATAGAATAAACTATGAACACTTTAAATCATCTAGATGTCCATGTATATGTATGTATGTATGTACCAAAGAATGCAAAACGTAAGTAAAGAGAGAACCTTTCAAAAGTAATAATACTTGCCAGAGAAAAGATACAGACCCATATCCTGATTTGGGTTACTCACTATATCAAAGTAATTTTTGATTTTTAACCTAGTTTAATATTTTATTGTTGTTTTGTTATGGTACTTTTTGTTGGAAATCTAGCACTAATCTCACTACAAATGGCATATACAACATACGTACAGATTGCATATATGACATGAAATTCTCTCGTCTAGTCTACACTTCTACCTAGAGGATATGAACTAGCCCAAAAAAATATAGAATAGTGCATGTATTTTGGCAAAAACAGTGAGTCACTTTCATTCATTGATATCATTATGTTTTAATTTTCATTATTTTGTTTCAGTTTTAGGTTCATTCAATTTCAGTTTCAATTGTGAAAGAGCAAAAATGGAGATTGATTCAAATAGTGGTGACAATCCTTCATTCGAAGTTGTTTGCTTATAGTTCGCATATTGTCCATTTGCACTTCTCCTGGAATTCCATCACCTCTACATTATAAATTTGTAGGCAAACACCATCTAATAAAACCACCGCAATCATTACAAGAGTAAAATAATTTGTTTTTGTTTCGCTCCGTCTCAGAAATTCAAATAGTTGTCTTTTTATGACATCTAGGACAATTTTTGTTGCAATATATGTCAATCGATCTAAGCTACTGCCGTTAACGCTTGAAGTTGACATTTGCAAAAATAAAAAGCCAAAAGAAAAAGACTATATTACAATTACAATTCAAGTAGCTATGACTTTCCAGTTGTTTTGAGTAAAGCACAATTACAATTCAATCACAAGTCTAAAAATCTGCCAATGAGGAGCTGAGGCAAAAGTTTTCGATGATTATGGTGAGCAAATCAAACACTGATGTGATAAAGTTTGGGATGATTAACTCTTAGTCGTTGCTTGTTTTCCGGCGACCTTCGAATTTTCTGGCAATCTTCTTGGACCCTCTCATACACTCTGCTCTACATCTTCTTAAATTTCTCAATCTATCTATGATAATCAACTCTCCTATATTCGGACCTCAAATTCCTTCATTTCAAATCTGTGTTCCAAACAAAACCTAAATGTCATTTCAAGCACACCAGGACCTTCAGTTTTGCAATCTTCACAAAAGCTCATTGAATTAACTAGATTGGAAACTCTTAAGCAGAACTGTTGCAAATCACAATGCAAAATAATGCAAACCCAAAACAATGAAAACCCACTTAGGATTTTTATCAAACAGTTGGTGTTCTTGCAGTAAATCCCATGTATCAGCATAAAAAGAAAGCATAGACGCACATAACTAATGACAATCAACTAGTAACCACTAAAAAAAAAAATTGAAGAAAACACCACCACCACTACATCATCCATCATCATCATCAAGAAATCAAGCCATAGTCGGCAAGGGATGACGCAGACGAGGGACAAGATTAGAAAGGTGGGTCTGAGGTTTCACAATCCTAGCCGACAGAGGAAGCGTGTCGTCCGTGTTTGAGTCAAGTATATCTGCAAAAATGAGGTCGAAAGCTTGAGAAGAGGAACTAACAAAAGAGGAAACTTTCAGAAAGAAAAAAGGTTTTTATTACCCTTGTGTATAGCTGCCTCAGGGGTAGGCCTGATAGGGGCAGCATGGCCAATATCCGAAACAAGGAACATCAACAATCGCGGGACTAGAAGATGGGGTGAGGTCTTGCATAACGAAGAAGATAAAAGTGCTCATTTAAGAAAACATAACCCCAAAAGGAAAAGTAGCTATGAAAAAGAACCAAAAAATGTCTATTTAATACCTGGCGGAGCCTTTAAAAAATAGGAACGTTGGCATCGGGAGCCCGCTTATGAGCCATCATCCTGATGCGAGTCATTTGAGGACCAAAAACCTTATTCAAAAGGACCGGCTCCGAGACAGCAACCATCGAACTGGTTGGGGCAGATGAAGCAAAGAAACTTTCATACATATGGTTAAACTTTCGGGACTTGGGCAACCGAAATGTTAAATCTTTCTTATAGATTAGCAAGGTGAACAGACAACCAGCTTACTTCGAACAAACTCGATGAAGGCATCAATATTCTTCCACCAGTGAAACCCCCTACCCGACTCAAGCACGGCAGTGTTAGATAACCGGATGCAGGAAGTAAGGCATGTAGGAGTCCACGAGTAAAGCGTACGTGACACTCTAAAAAGGACAATAGAGAGACTGATCGAACCCAAATTGACATGTCACCTCATTAGGCCTATAGGCAACACTCCCAAAGCCTTTCTCGTGCCATACCGACAGAGAGCTGGGACAAACCATTATCAAGACATCAATAAGATGCGCAGAAGCATCCTTTGGCAAAGGAAATTGATACTGACTGGGGAGAAGCATGGCAAATAGGTGACGCCGCCACACCCACATAAGAGCGAGCCATGATGCCCTGAAAATCATCTACTAAAGTGTTCAGAGATAGAGTGGAAATGAAGCGAGATCAACAGTTGACAAGTTCTCACCTTCTTAAACAAAGGGAACCCATCCCTATCTACTACCTCCCCGAAGAGCTTTCGTCTTGAAAACAGTCGGAGCAGCGGCGAACTTCGAGAATCTCTTAAAAATGAAGCAAAGTAAGAACTGATTGTGGACGAAGGAGATAGGCTCATAACGGCCCATAAACCATACCATATCCCGATGAAGCAAATCCAATCGGTAGTATAGTTCCCAAGAAACAGTGGAGCCAAGGGGATTCGATCTCCCTTAAAGAATTTGACCACCGGTGGAAAGACGAAGGGGTTAAGAGTATCCGGAGGTGTGCTTGGAAGGATAAAAAAGAAGAGTAAGCAGGTTAGGAACCCTAGAGAGAAACTCAGAGCCATACATTGGACCAACCTCATACTCTTGAGAAGCGGGGTCAATATCTTTAGCTAAGGGCTGAAGATCTCTAAAGAAATGAAGGATCCATACAATATAGGAAGCTTGGTCCCTTCTTACCTGTAGCCTTCCTCTTTGGGCCATCAAATCAGGAACTCAACCGACCACAATCTTTAAGATTTTGTTTCAAAGGCTCATTATCGGAAGGAATCCGCTCAGGGCAAAAGACATCAGGGCCCTTTACCTCCAAGTGCAGTAAGATAAATACATCTTCAAGCGTCGGCTCCATTTCACGGTTACCAAGCATGAAGGTGTGTATCTCAGTACTCCATCGGAGAGCCATAGCTTCCAGTTTGGCATTATTGCGTCGGATGGATAATGATTGAGAGATCCTCACAGGAATTAGCAGTCGGGTCGCCTGAAGCCTCTAACAGAAGCCCTTGTCCAAAAGGATATCATCAACCCATTCTTGCCAACCAAAGGGAAGATTGGAAAAAGCTTTGAATTGAGGGTAGTAGTAAGGGAAATCCCTTCGCTCAATTTTGAGACGCAGCAACGAGGAATGAGAGTTTCCTGTTTGGAGTCAATGTCTTCAGAAAGATACAGAGGTGCCCCCCTCGGAGTTGGAGGAGGAGAGGTGGTGGATCTAGCTGATCCCCAGAACGGGTCTTTTCTGCCAAAATAGGGTGATTTCTTCCACTTGGATGCCAGAGGAACAACTCTCTCTTTCATAAGTGCTGGTTCTGAGGGCCCTGGAATGATGGATCTCTTTCGGGAAGCCATATAGCTGAAACAATAAAGATGACAAGTAGGAGCAAACAGTATCAAATTTAGATTATTAGAGACGAGCTGATAGCAAACAAATGGTAACAATTTATTTATGCTACTGCATTTTATTTCTCTAACCCAATTCGTAATTAACAAAAAGTAGGGATTGGTCTTTCTGGGTTTGTCTCTCGTGAGTCAACACAAATCAACAAGAATCCCAACGAAATTTTGGCATCAACTATTTATATCTCGAAGTATCCACAAGTGACAATACATGGCTCAACGCTCAACTTCAACATTAATTCTTGAAGCAAAAGCATTCTCTAGCTTCCGGTGTCAGGAATTCATTTGTCAAGTATGGTGTGCTTACACTGTCAACAAATTCTATATTAAGAGTTTGAGCATGATATCTACTTTAGGTCAAAGGGTTCTAGAATATGACGTGCAATTGTTTGTAAAGTTCATGACCTGGGAAAAAGAATTAATCAATATGCAGTTAATTTTAAAATGATAAGAAGAATTAGGATAACTTCAAAAATTGAGGGTTTAGAACCATGAAACTAGTTTTAATATCAAAGTTGGAGTTTTCATTTCATTCAGGAATTTAGATAATTCAATAGGCGGTGGTTGTTCTAATTTTAAGAGTTCAACGTTTTTGTGGATTTGAGCTTAATAATGAATCTGGCTATTTTAAATCACTTAGAACAATATGGAGCCACATATTGTCTGGGACTTTAGCTTCATTGGCTATTCGCTATGTGACTAGTATAGATTGGAGTGTCGTTGTGAGTAAATTTTGTGTTCTTGTTGATTGAAGTTCCTTTAGCAAAGTTGGTTGTTGGAAGTGGTTCCGCCAGTGTATGAGTTCTCAAGTCTAGTTTTGAAGTGAGATGTTGAACAGCTTTGGTGAGAAATGACATAATCGAAGCCTTGGTGATATTCTTCTTTGACTTGAACTAAGAGCATCTCCGGCAATGCTAGTCAAAATATTTAGCCTTCTCGCTTATAAAATTTTCAATTAAAAAAATATGGTTGTTGAAAAAATATAATTGCATTTAAAAAATGAAATAAATAATATTTATTTTAGAAATAGTTAAAATAGGGAGTATTGTTGGAATGTGTATTGAAAAAGTGAATACCTAAAATACAATAAGTGAATTTTAGCTAGTTATTTTGACTAACCATTGTTGGAGATGCTCTGACTCAACCGAAGTAGCTAGTCATTATTCGCAAAACTATTTTAGCTATAGCCTTTTGACCAGTTTGTTGAAGAGATTTTTCATGAGTTTGGCTAGTTATTTTAGTTAGATTGATAGTTTAGCTAGTCTATTGTGGATGTTCTAATGGTGGTTAATAGATAACTTTTTCACTTAGATAGCATGTTGCTCCATGAAGATTATTTCTCTCAGAAAGGGTTAGCTTCACAAATTTGTTGGATGCAGAACATATTTGTGCTTTTTTATATATTTATCTTTGTAAAACAATAGATAATGCTTGTTACCAGTCAATATGGTTTTATGGGACTCTATTCTTGAGATAATTTAACATTTCTATGAATGCTTCCTTCATCTAGATCCTTATTAGTTGTTTCAAAGAAATTTTGACTTTGAATTCATTTGAACTAATGTCTGTTCTGATTTTTCTTTTCAATTTCATGACAGCAGATTTCTTGGTGACTATTGCCAACTGACTCCTGCAATCTCTACATCAAATGAAGGTTGTTTTTTGTTTGTCAGTTCCCTAAATTTCTGCTTGGATTTGTGAACACTTGAGATTTCTAGTAAATCTGTAAATTTGATTGTAACAATCCATTTCCAAACTAAAATGTCTCTCCGAAGACCCCCACTACCCCGTCTCCTTCTGAACAACGTCTCTTGCATGAGAAATGCCCAACAAATCCTCCGTCACGTAAATATCTCCCTTCATGACGGTGGGGCACTTGTGTTGACAGGCGCCAATGGCTCAGGCAAAACCACTTTCTTGCGCATGTTAGCCGGATTCTCCAAACCTTCAGCTGGTGAGATCCTCTGGAATGGTCATGACATAACTGACTCGGGGGTTTTTCACCAATACAAGCTTCAACTCAACTGGCTTTCTCTCAAAGATGCGATCAAAGAGAAATTCACTGTCCTTGACAATGTTCAGTGGTTTGAAGTTCTTGAAGGCAAGCAAGGGAAGTCTCTCCCTGCTCTGGAGCTTATGGGGCTTGGAAGGTTGGCGAAAGAGAAAACGAGGATGCTCTCAATGGGTCAACGGAAAAGGCTACAACTTGCGAGGTTGCTGGCAATTGATCGACCGATTTGGTTGCTCGACGAGCCTTCGGTGGCATTGGATAATGACGGGGTCAAGTTGCTGGAGTATATTATTGCAGAGCACCGAAAGAAGGGTGGGATTGTCATCGTAGCAACACATTTGCCGATTAAGATTGAAGATGCCATGTATTTGAGGTTGCCACCAAGGTTCCCAAGAAAAATGACTTTGGTAGACATGCTTGATCGAGCTGGTTAGAGAAGTAAGATGTTAATTCCATCAATTTTTTGGACATCATGTAGTATGCCCAGAAGCTGAATCAATGAAAGCATGAAGAAAGCATACGTTGGACGGAACCAAAGTGACCTCGATGTTCAATATAAAGGTAGTTACTTTGCTTAAATTATTTTTTGTTGCCCAGTTGAAGAACTTTAGGCATGTTTAAGCTATAGTTGTAGTCTTCGTTGTCTACTGCATACAAAACATCAATCAACATCTTATAAAAAGGGTGACAATTAAAATTTTCATTTAGAAGCTCCATGGACCTTGAGATAGGATTTAGGTGTTGGCAATTTTTGCGTGACCAGGTCTCGGCTTTATTTTGTAATGGGGCTTAGTAGTTGAGGGGGCTGAAAGTGTCTTGTTCAAGGACAATATTAGACCAAGATTTTGTATTGCTGATTTTCTACATTTTGTTGGACCTTGAGATAGGATTTAGGTGTTGGCAATTTTTGCGTGACAAAATGGTCTCGGCTTTATTTTGTAATGGGGGCTGAAAGTGTCTTGTTCAAGTACAATATTAGACCAAGATTTTGTGTTGCTGATTTTCTACGTTTTGTTTAATATTTTAATTTTATTTGTTTTTTGTTGGCTTGAAATTTTGGATAGCTCTTTGATATATGAAGCTTCAGAGTTGTATGGGGATGTTTTGCAGAGTACAACCATACAGTGTCATGAGATTGTGCATTACATAAACTGAAGCTTTGACTCGCCAGATCCACTGAAGGGAAAAAGTAAGTTTGAAAAAATAACTTTAGAATAGGAAAAGCTATAAAATAAATAAATAAATAAAGTGAACACAAATATTGAGATCAAGATGGGGTTTATGGGGTCTGTTCTTGTGGTTGGATTATCTCATGGGTTGGGATTCTGTGTTTAAAATTTTGTTCTACCTTCAATATATTCTTAGTCATACCATTGTTCATGAGATTTTGGTGTTTTGAAATTTCTGTAATTAAGAGTGCCTTGGGAACATAGGAATAGAAAATTTAAAAACAGAAAATTCCTATCTGTTTGTGTTTCAAAGGTTTGCTTGGTGGAGTGGAGACATAGGCAATGCTAGTGCATTGGATGGAGTTATTGGGTGTTTTGTGTTGGGAAGTTGGTTAAAAGTTTATTTTTATGGCCTTTTTTAGCTTTTTTTGAAAAAAAGTGTAAAAAGTAAAGATGATGCGACTTAAAATAGATTAAAAGTCAAAATTTGGCTTTTAACTATGTTCCCAAATGGGTAATTATTTTATATTTGTAAAGTAGCATGTGGTATTATTTATCGGGCACTTACAGTAAGTTTCATACACAAAATTCAAAATCCATCTAATCTCAAAACAAAGTACTTGAACTAATTAGTTCTACATATTTTTAATTGTTACCAAATTTTTTTTTTTTTTTTTTATCACTTTAAAAATACTGCTACATCCAACGATTTCTGTTACTCGCCAAAGACTCGTCGGAATATTCAGCATCACCGAAAAGTCTCTAGAGCATCACTGGAAGTTCGCTGGAGTGTTTTGAGTATCGCCGGAAGTTCGCCGAAGTGTTCTGAACGTCACTGGAAAATATCAGGAATATCATCAGAGATTCACCGGAATATTCAGAATATTGTCCCCCCCCCAAATAAAAGAATAAATGCAGAAATCATAATTAAAAAACATAACAACAACAAACAACTAAGCAAATAATCTGTAACATTGATCAAACTGAAAAGTAAGTTTTGAAACTGTAAAATGTAACAGTTTCAAAGTATTATTCTATTAAGTTGGAAAATATATTATGAAATTGTAAAATTTTACAATCTAAAGAAAGTTATGAAATTGTAAAATTTTACAGTTCTAAAGAAAGTTATGAAATTGTAAAATTTTGCAGTTTTAAAATATAATTCATTTCAGCACCAAAAAAAGATGAAACTAAAAAATTTTATAATTTTCACCACCTGTAACTAAAACTTAAAACAATTTATTCAGAAATTGAAATTTTTTTCCATTAGAACAAAAAAATAGACTTGTGTAACAGAGAAAAGGGTAGAAAAATTGAGAAATCGAAGGAAAGAATAGATATAGAAATAATATTGTACTCCGGTAACTATTTTTGGTTTAGATCTAGTCGGATCTCATGTAGATATACTCAGATTTGATATAGATCTGAGTAGATTTACATCAGATTTGAGTAGATTTATTCATCTTCTTCGCCATCGGTGAGGATAAAGTAACGAGTTGATGTCGATAGTTGGTGGTTGCCGGTGAACCCCAATCAATGGTGGTTGTCGGTCACCGGTCACTATATATTAGAAAGAGAAAGAGAATAAAGAAGGTGTGATCACCGGTTGTCGGACATGACGAAGAGAATGAGAGGAAAACGCAGAAAAAAGAGAGAAGAAAACGTAAAGAATGAGAGAAAACGTAGAGAGAGAGAGAGGGAAAAAGTGTAGGATTTTTTGGTTCTACTCAAAAAGTTATTGGATTAAATAGTGTACACATATTTCAAACAGGATCTACGGGTAATTTTCCCATTATTTAGAGTGCTTTAAATCAATTAGGTGGTAGAAAATTTAACGACGCCTATGTTACATAGTTGAGAAACAAATAATGATTCATTGTTTGTTGCAATTTTTTCTTTCTGGAGAACATCACATTACATAACATTAGAGTATATCTAATAAATTTTTGTTTTTAATTGTTTTGTGTTTATTGATGATAATTTAAGGTAGTAGAGATACTAGCAAATAAGCAAAATGAAAAAAAATGTCACCAAATCTAAACGAAAGATGTGATGAAGGTGATTGTAGATGAGCATTGTTGACATTGGATGTTTGTGAGGGTTGTTTGACTTTACTAGTGGGCAAGCATCACCATGATAATTCTTCCTCGGAGTGTTTGGAGATGAAGAATTGTTTTTTGGGTTGCTATGGAGAAAGAGAATCAATTTGTTTGGCAGCATCTCAAACACACAAGTCCCTGTTTCACCACAAGTTGTCACAAATGCTTTTTAGCAATTTTTTCCTCTTAGGCTATAGACTTGTTTGATCTAGCAAGTTGTTTCTGTTTAATAAGTTATATTAAACAATTTAGCATAAATTCTTAAATTTAAAAAAAGAAAACTATAAATATCTTAGATAAATTGCACTAAACAATTTCTATATTTGAATCGTAGGTTTAGATAATGATTTGAAATCTAAAAAAAAAAATATTAGCAAAATATAAGCAATTTTTTTATCTATTCCCTTTCCTTTTCCTTGTTCTTTTTAAATTCTTACATAAATCTATGATTCAAATGCAGATTTGATGAATTTTTAAACATATTTCTAAACCATAAGCCCCTAAAAGAAACATGATCAAATTTTAAAAAGATGCACTTAAAAAATGGCAAAATTATATGTAGGCAGGAGAAGGGAAAAAAAAATTATCAACACATGAGTTGCACCCTCACAATATTTCATTTGCACTCCATCACAGATACATTTACATTTCCATGTGTTAGTAATTTTTTTTTTCTTCTCTCACCTACATATAATTTCTCCTAAAAAAATTGTCTTCCATGTACTATTTTAAAAAATTATTATTTTTACTTTTTATTTTTTATTTTATTTTAATGGTGGTGTGTTTAATTTTGCTATGATTGGCAGCAACAAAACAGGGATTAGGTTATTTGGCATCACTGTCAAAAAAAAAAAAAAAACCGACTTATTAATTTATTAACTTATTTGAGTTATATTATTTTTCTATTTTTTACACGTTCTTTTATAAAAAATAAAAATAAATAAATATTTTTGACACTTTCCAAAATAATCCTAAATAGATCGTTTATTAACTTATTTAAGTCACATCATATTTGTATTTTTCTATGTCTTTCCGTAATTAAAAAAAGGGTCATGCTACATCCCCCTAAAAAACATCCCTATAATTTTTCTATTTTTTACACGTTCTTTTATAAAAAATAAAAATAAATAAATATTTTTGACACTTTCCAAAATAATCCTAAATAGATTGTTTATTAACTTATTTAAGTCACATCATATTTGTATTTTTCTATGTCTTTCCGTAATTAAAAAAAAATGAACTTATAAACTATACTCAAAGGATGAGTCTTCCTCCAGTCGTTCATCGGAAAGAATGCTCACTTCACTTGTAAGAAAATTTGTAAATAAGTTTTTATTTTTGTTCAACTAAAATATTGGGCTGGTTTAGGAACTTGGCTATTGGCTATTTAACTTCACTTAAAAAAAAAAGAAAAAAAAGAGTTGTGATTGGGAAGATAATTGACCTTTTTTTTATTTTTTTATTTTTTATAATTAGTTTGATAGTTGTACAAGAAAAAATGAAATCTATCTATCTATACTATATATTAAGTAAAATGGGATTTTTAACCTCAAGGCCTGTGAGAGTTTCAATATCCCATTCTGAATTTTCTAAATTTTTTATTTAAAAAAGAAAACTCAGCATTTATTGATTTGATCAAAATCCCCTGATCATCATTTATTAACTTTTTTCAATCCACATGTCTTTCCACATACTTGCGTTTATTGATTTGGTCAAAATTCCCTGATCAGCATTTAAAATCCCTTCAAATAAATAATTATAGATACAATCCGTGTATAGTTACTGCAGCACCCTTTTCAACTTTTATCATATACTATGATTAGTAATAAGATTGTTAAATTATTTTTATAAAAAATCTTAAAAAATATAATTTATATATTAAAAAAAATCTAAAACAAATATAAATATCTATAATTATCTCGTGCATAGTACGGGTGATAGGCTAGTATATTATATAAGGAAAAGAGGGTTGCTAACCCACAAGCCTTATGAAAGCTCCAAGTTCCCAGTGTAAATCTCATAATTTTTTTATTTTTAAAAATTAAAAAAATCTTCTATTAACTAGCTCTTATTCAAGTAAAAATAAATAAATAAATAAAAATTAATATCCCTTAATTTATGACTTTCAAATAGAAAATATATCAAATCTAAAAAAATGAAAAAGTATGCTAATTCATTTCAAAATTTAAATTTGAGGGTCACTAAATATGGAAAGCAATCTATTAATTTAAATTTAAAAGTAATACAATATAAATTTAAAATTATAATGATCTATCCCATGATTTATAAGTTTTAAATAAAAATTTAAAATTATCATAATTAGCTCATAATTTTTGTATTTAGGAGCAATAAGAATGACGTTGAGATTATTTATATATTTTACAAAAGAATGCTTTTAAGAAAAGATATTATGAGAGTTTTAAAACTTTATACAAAATCTATACTCTATTATAATTGAAAAACATTGTCATTCTATTATGAAATTTTTTTTATTATTTTGTTTAATTTTTGTTAATATGTGTCACAATATAATTGGTTTATAAATTAATTTTATATTCTTAAAATAAAACTTTAAATTTAGATTATTCCTTAAATTATGTCCCAGAATAAGATCAATATCCATTCCTTAATTTATGCATCTTTTATTAAATTATAAAATAAAGTTTTAAATTTAAATTCTTTTTTTAAATTATGTTATTACAATTAAAATGAGATCAATATTCAAATGTGTTATAATATTATTGGTCTAAACATAATATGTTATTAAATA